TTATGGAAATGGGAGAAATTTAATTTATGAAAAGAGTTTGTCGTAACAAGCTGAAATACTGTTAAAAGGATAGTTTTTTGTTCAAATGTGATCCATGAAGTGCGACAATTTTACCGAGATTGTTTTTAAGTGAATGCAACTTAAACACTGGCAAGTTTTGTTGACGTTCTTGAAGATGTCTCTTTTTTTAAATTTCTTATCGCTAAACATTTATTTTACGTGCTTCCAGAATGTTCGGAAATACGTCATAAGGTATTATTAGGTATAAGTATATGTAAGGCATCTAAAACGTCGTAGTAGAATCAGCTGAAGACTTTTTCTAAATCTTGGCTCATTGACTATTCTCTCCAACTCGTCGTCACAAAAGTAAGCTTATAAATTTCTTTTACCTTCCTTTCCAGTTGTTACGACTCAGCTTGAATTTCCGACGCGTAGTACTGTTAACATTATTGTTCTTTAGTTCTATTATGCATCATGATAATTATTGTTTTTTTGTTTTTACTTTATTTATTGGTCAAATTAAGCACAAAGTCGAATGCTTTCGTACTCCTTTCGAATTTCTTAGCTTAATTTATTGCAGTTTCTTATTCTCTCTTTGTCACACAACGTTGAAACCGACTAATTTTTATCACCCTGTCACATGGCAACGTAATTAGCACTTACTAACTCGTGGTCCAAATATTGCTTCTGTCACTTCCCATTTTATTGCTCCAGCAAATATTTGAAGAGGAGACACAACGTTTTCTCTCCCTTGCGAATCTGGTCTTCGATCTTTCGCGAAAAGAGAAATGATATCGATCGTTCATTTCAGTAAAGCCCTTTTATCATAGGGGTTACTTGGATCGTTGTTTTCAAGTCACGTTTAGAAATGTCTTTCATCATAATTCGGCTACTCACCAACATGATTTAAATATCCTTAACTGTTAAACATATTCTTAACCGCTGCTCCATGCAAGCATCGCTAGCGAAAATGAAATGGCAAGATAGACCTTCAAAATTTCGGATTTCCTTGGGGATGGATCAGATTGGTTTTACCATTTCTTTACGTTTGAGACGAACTTGCTCAAACTTAATCAGTTCGGCATACGTTTCTCAGTCGGTGTCCAAAAAAAAATACAATAATTTGTCATAAAAAGTTCCCATTTTTAGCTTTAGTTGTCCAAGCTTAAAACCAGGTCTCCGTGCTTTTCTTAGTGTTTGCATTTATTTTGTTTTCCTTAAGTTCTTGTGGTACTTTCACGTCACAATAGAGAAATTTTTCGGCTCATCTTCGGTGTAAAAACCTGCGAAGCTCCCGAGTGACGTAAAACAAAGACAACAAAACATTATAAACGATAGCGTACAGCAAAACAATACCTCATGAAACAAAGTAAACCTCGTCAGGTTTTTACACGGAGGATGACCCAATTTTTCCGCCATTGTTTCGATATCTACTTTCGGTTACTATATTTTTAGTGTTTTGCCCAACCATTTTTTTCCACAAAATTCAAAGCGTAATGAAGGTTTCTCAGCCCACTGTTGCATTCCAACGACAATAGCTCGATTTTCCTCTGAGCTAAACCAAAACTATGC